GCCCCACCGTCTCTGGGCACCCTGTGCCAGCGCCTCAGCACCCTCACAGGGAAGAGCTGCTGCCCAAGAGCTCATCTCAATGTCCCCTCTGGCAGGTTCAAGCCATTCCCCTTGGCCTGTCCCTACATCCCTTGTCCGAAGCCCCTCTCCAGGTTTCCTGGAGCCCCTTTAGGCCCTGGAGCTGCTCTAAGGTGCCCCCTTCAGGAGCCTTCTCTTCTCCAGCTGCCCCAGCCCAGCTCTCTCAGCCTGGCTCCAGAGCAGAGCTGCTCCAGCCCCCGATCATCTTTTTGGCCTCTTCCTTGCCCTTTTCCTCACTTCCCTTGTCTCTGTACAGGTAATTTCCATGTGTTGAACAGGGAAGAGCCTGCTGCTGCTCTGACAGCCGGCGTGTATCACAGTGGTGTGTGCCATGGCTGTGGGGGCACAGCGCACATTCCCTGTGTGCATCCTGGCAGCCAGTCCTGCCCCAGGCTTTGTGGAGGTGCTCGATGGCTCCTGCCTGTTTCGTGCCGTGCAGAACTGGCCCTGGACGAGCAGCTCTGTTTGCTGTTGCCCCAGGCAGGTGCTGTGGGCCAGGCTGGGCGGCACATGGTTAGTCTGAAACCAGACTTCTCAAGTGAGGCAGCCCATGTGCTCCGGCTCTGCTGGAAGCACATGCCCCAGGTGAGCTGAGCAACGTCAGGATACTGGTCTAGGAGCCACAGCAGCGATGGAGCAGGAGCAAAAGTCTTGTTTTCCGCAGGGCAGGTGGCAGTTGTAACTAGGAGAAAATTACCTGGGAGCTGCTTAAAGCCAACTTCTTCCCCCTGGGGTTGTCTTTTTCTCCTCCCCATTCTAAAAGATATAGCCTCTTATAACTGCTACCTCCTCCTCTTTAGGGCCTTGCATGGTGCAGGGTATCTCTGGTCAGGCTGGTGTTAGGGAGAGCGTGGACCTTCCCTCTGGCTGTCAAGAATTAGTCGCAGCAACAGCACAGTTATTGCCCCACTTCACACTGTGGCGGTTGGATGGAGGGCTTTTCCAGGGACCCCCAAACAGCCCCATTTTTTTCATTTCCTCCCCTTATATTCTCTTTCTCTCTTCCCTTTAGCAGCTTCCTTCTATCAGGAATAACCACAAGCCCCTGTTTGTTTGCCTCTTCCCATAAGCAAGGTGTTGACTTTGGGCCCCAGTTTGGTGTTTATGATATGGCTGCCAAAGCAATTTCCACCTGCACCATCAGTTCAGTCACTAATCCCTTGTGTCCCCCTCAGTCTCCCTGGCTTTGTCATTTCATATTGTTCCTTGTTTGTGTCCCAGACTGGGCCATTTGTTTGCATTGCTGCCCTTTGCTATGCTCCTTCCCCAGTTCCTCCCACTGTGAGCTTGCTGGGCAGGGGTTGCTCCCAGCTTCCACACCATAACCAACACACACCCCTGTGCCTGCAGGGGCGTCTGCCCCGTCCTCAAGGTACCTGCCCTTGATTTCTGACCCCAAGCAGCTGCTTAAGATGCAGCCTTCTGCTAGGCACTGAGTGCTGCCAGGGCATGTGAAGAGCAGGTCCGTGCCCTGGGTGGCCAGCGGAGCCTGTTACTAAGCTGGCATCCCAAGGAAAAGAGCTGTCTCTGCTCTCCTGCTGTGGCAGTACCCCCAGGAACACCGTGTTTGCATCGTGACCTTGGCCAGCTGTGGCTGTTTTCAGGCAGCACAGCTCAGTGCTGGGGTTGCTGTGTACAGAGCACACCACAAACTATAGGCACCAAGTGCATGTTACAGGGGACAACTTTATTTTGAAACACCTTGTCAGAACAGAGTAGAACACAAACGGCAGCTGCTGCTCTGCATCCAGGAAGCCCAGTGAGACCAGTGGGCTGCCCTCAGCTCCTGCCCTGCCAGGGGCAGCTGGCCTATGGCCTATGTCTGCACTGAAAACCAGGCTAGGAGCTGTGCAAGCACGGGGCAGAAGCTTTGGAAAGCTCTAGGCCAACTGTCCCCATCTTCTGAACAAAGTACTGCTGTGTTGGCTTGTGGAACAGCTCCATGGGCACAGATGGGCCATAGGGAGGAGAGGGTCCCAGCTGCTGCTGCTGGGTGCTGTGCTGCAGCTGCAGGGAGCAGTCACTGTGTAGGAGCCAGCTGGCACTTGCTACAAACCCTTTCACGAGCTGGGGCAGTGAGCAGTGAGACCAGCTATGGAAGCAAGGAAATGGGCATCACCGTGGGCAGTGCCCTCAGGAGGGCAGAGCTCTGGGCTTTAAGATTTAATTCAAAAGCCCTCTTTTATGCTTGTTCAAACACTCTGCTCCCGCAGGATGAGGGCACCGTGATGTTTACTGCCTACATATCTGCCTGACTTCCTCACTGCCCTGAGGCAGCTTTTCTGCACCCGCTGACAGCAATCTGTGGTTTGTGGCCTGTCCCAGCCTCGTCTCAGAAACCTGAATTGGAGGCATGTTGGTGATGTGTGCTGACAGAAATGGGAAACGTGGGGCATTGGGGGGGTAGCTCAATCTCTGGACAGAGGGCCCCAGAGCAGCTTCCTGCTACCTGCTGACTTAAGTCACTAACAAAACCGTAACAACAAGGAGGAACAAACAATGGGAGGTGCTGGTCTGCCCAATGCTGAGCTTTGTGCCTTGGCTGCCCAGCTGTGGCTGCCCGGAGCAGCGCCAGGCTCACTGCAGGAACTCCTCATACTCTTTCGGGAGCAGGGAGCGCTCGCAGGAATCTCTCCTGGCTGCTGCTGTCCTGAACGCTTGGTCAGGAGAAGGAGCCATCAGAAGCGGTGCCACTGTAGCTTTGGCTCTGCTCTGATGCTGCAACACAGGGACAGAACAGGAATGCACACCAGAAGGGCGGAACGGACACTAGGTAGGCTACTCAAAGGCAAAAGATATACCTGCTTGGGCTGATGCCGCTCTGGTCGCTGGTCCTTGGGCTGGGCCTGCTGCCTGTGCAGAGGTTTGTACAACGTACTCTTCAGGTATTTGTAGAGGTTGCTTTTTAGGTGTAAGGGGTTATAAGCAACTTCTACTTCCAGACTATTCAGGGCACTCTGCTCAGACAGAAGAAAGAGCCTAGTGAGATGTGACAGGTCGGGGCTGCAGGGTTTGCTTGGGGGAGTTGTTGGGTTTAGTGTCAAGGGCTTTTCTTGCAGGAAGGAGTGTTACAGATGCTCCATGCCACCCTGCAGTGATGAGAGAGGGGATCTTTGGCTGTGCTGCTACCCACAAGGACTACTCTTAGATGTGTATAGAACATGAGGCATATGCAACCAGCTCTTAGTGGATTTAAGCATTCCCTTGCAGGATGCAGTCCTATCCTGCTCCATACCCAGAATCAGCCAACAAGCTGGAGCACCCTTTCTGGGCACCATCCCCCTTAATTCTGTGCTTCATAATGCTGCTTCCCCCTCCCCACAACATAGAATCATAGAATGGTTTGGGCTGGAAAGGACCTTAAGATCATCTAGTTCCAATCCCCCTGTCATGGGCAGCGACAGCTCACACTAAACCATGTCGCCCAAGGCTCTGTCCAACCTTGCCTTGAACACCACCAGGGATGGAACATTCACAACTTCCTTGGGCAACCCATTCCAGTGCCTCACCACCCTCACTGTGAAGAACTTCTTCCTTATATCCAATCTAACCTTCCACTGTTTATGTTTGAACCTGTTCCCCTTGTCCTACCACTACAGTCCCTAATGAAGAGTCCCTCCCCAGCATCCTTATAGGCTCCCTTCAGACACTGGAAGGCTGCTATGAGGTCTCCAACAGACATGCAACATTGATCAAATGACATGTATTTGCTTCCATGAAGAAAGCTGTAGGATGTATCAGCTGCTGGGAAGAAGTTCTGGAGTGCTCCATTGTATTCCAGCTGTCACCAGATGTTCTCACAGCTGCTTCCTCCTCTACTCATCTGCTAAGACCTACAGTGAGGGCTCTGCCCTTCCTGGCATCACCTGAAGCAGAGGCAGACAACTCAGGATGCACAACAGGAAATGCAGAGGCCTGAATCTATTGGAAAAGACACTTTATGTGTTGATTTATCCTACACCTAAAGCACCTCTCTCTGCACACTGAGATCCGTATTCCCCAGCAATGAGGGAGATAGATTTATCTTCCAGAGCAGCTGCATGTCCTGTGCATAAAGGCTGATCATTACTCTGATCCCTGCTGGTACAACTAGGATCCTTTCCACACATGTTTATACAGGGCTGTTGGTGACTTACCTCTATCGGGCCATGCACTCTCTCAGGGTGTTCAGCAAGGAGGGCTGGGAAGGTTGATGGCAGCAAGAGCTCTCTGATGGCAATTGCTTTGACAAGTAGAGTGGCAGAGTCAGAAGGGACAATGATGTAGTAGGAGTGCACCACGATGTTCCAGTTTGGACCAGTGTTCTGTGGCTCACGTCTGGCCAAAAGCATCCACTTCCTTTTCTAAAAGGCAAAAGCCAAACCTGATGTGAGTAACGGACAGTAGCCACTTCCTCAGCACTTCACTTTCACTATAGGGGCTGCTTGGTTCAGAGTCAGCTACGTTCATACACATCAGAATAAGAACGTTATTCTGCATTATGGGTGAGGTCAGTACGTTGGTTGTTTCTAACTGAATGCAAGACAAGTCTTAAGAAAAAATCCAGTTTTGCTTTACAACTTCTCAGTAATGGAAAGTCATGGAATCCCAGCCTGGTTTTGGGTTGGAAGGGACCTTAAAGCTCATCCAGCCAACCCCCTGCCACAGGCAGGGACACTTTCCACTACAGCAAGTTGCTCCAAGCCCCTGTGTCCAACCTGGCCTTTTAAGTTCTCCACATTCCAAGCCTTGGCTAATTATTTTCACAGTTAAAGATGCATGTTTAACCCCAACCATGACTTCTGCACTTCAAACTTCCCAATACTGGATTTCTGATGGGATAGAGTCTCCCCTAAGGTTTGACGTGCTGTAGCATCTCTCCAGTGGATGCATTGGCTGGAAGGATTTACAAGCCCAAACCTGTCCCATGAGATAAGGCTGCAGCATTGAAACATTTTCTGGCGCAGGTGAGAGAGATCTTACTATATGTGCACCGACTGTTCCTTTCTATGGCAATTCCTCCCCATGAGAAGGCAATTTTCACACACTCACCAGAAGACTATGGCATAAAGCATGGAAGCTGTGCTGGTTTATCTCCAGTTCATCCCAGTCTAGCTGCCAGCAGCTTGTGGGCTTGATGATGAAGGGCAGGCCATACAGTACAGACTCACAGACCCCTTCAGACTTCAGAGCCCTGCAATATACAGCTCATGTTAGCGAAGCACAACCAACATGAAACCAGCAAGAAGACTCTCCCAGCTGACTAGCTTGAGTCTCTATGGCAGTATCAGCCGCAGTACTGCTACAGGCACTCAATGTCTGTATTGCTGTGGCCTGACACGATGAAACCTTGCTGAGAAGTCCAGCTGCAGTGAAATAAGGCTTTCTTGCTGATTTCCAGATTCCCTTATATCTGTGTTGACGAAAGCTGGCCAAGGAACAAATCCAATCTGTGCATTTTGTATACAAACCAGATTGTTAATCTGGCCTCTTGGGCAGTAACTCACCCAGGCATTACACATCTTCCCAATGTTCTTTACTGGATCATGGTTATCCTTCACCTAAACTGACACGTGCTCTACTGCTCACAGAGCCAACATCTCACCACAAACACCACTGCAGGTGGTGTCCACAGCACACTTCTGCCTGACAGGGCATTATTAAGTAGCTGCAGTGCTTTGGCTGTGGGCCATTCATGCACAGTAGCTCTCCAGCTACTGACAGGATGGGAATCATTTTAAGAACAACTGTATCGCTCAGAAATCATACAAAATGTTTCCTATAAATAAGCCTCAGCAAAGACACTAGAGAAGCATCACTCCTCTTGTTATGCTCTGTGCTCACCAGCCACAGACTGCTGACAGGAAAGGGGATAAATGCTTATGTGAAGTCATACAGCACTGTGGGGCTTTCCTTGCTTTTTAGTACTGGGCAACCAGTTAGCTGAGGCTCTGACACCCAGTTAATTGCTGTGGCGTCATTAGGCAGTGAGAGAACAGCAGAATTGTATAGGGAGCAATGGCTGCAATCTGCAGAACTTCACACTGGAGGGAGAAACTGCTGCATGATAGCATCCGTGGTGTCACACCCCTTAAGTGCTAGTGCCATGGTAACACCAGTTTTGCTGCTGTGCTCCTGCCTGAACGGCTGGGATGTGCTGGTCCATAACATACAGAGTTACGGGTGTTGAGGTGATCTTATGTAGCATTTTTGCTCACTAGCACTGGGACGCCCCCAGTGCTTTATGGTTCTGTTACTAGATGAGATTGCACACAAAGAGTGAACGCTGCTGTCATACCAGCCTTCCAGTTGCCAAGTACAGAGTGTAACAACACTTACTTTACAACCCGGAGTTTATACAGCACTGTAGCTGGCCAGGCTGCCATCTGACAGGGTGAATTCATGTCTGCTGCTCTCACGGTGCCATCAACTGTCCCAGAAAGTAGAGCTGGGTCGAGCAACCTCTCCTGCAAATCGCACTTGAGGCACACTGGGAGAAGGAGGTTGGTTTAGATTGCTGTAAATAGCACGTGCTGCAAGCACTTACAAACACTGTCAATGTTCTCTAGCAATAGCAGCTACTAAGGGAAGAACAAAGCTAAAGCCTGTGGCACAAAGCAACAATCGATCCCCATTGTACACACAAGGGAAATACCACATGCTTGGCCTATTAATGAAACATGATGGGTTGGTAACCAGGCAGCAAGTTCCAGTTTTGGTGATGGGTGGTCAGCTACAGAGGGAGCAGAAGTTCTTCCCAATGCACATGAGTTCAGGGACACACGTTTCCTGCTGGCTTTGCTGCCTGTGTTTGTGGAGAAGCCCAGCACACTGATGGCACTAACTTGGGTATAATAGGACATGGCTGCATACAATTTCTCTGGCCTTCTGCAGACTTTAGTGCGGGAAGGTGAAAAAACCTGACTGCAGTGTAACTTGGTTTGTCTTGCTACCTATAAGCCAATGCATCAAGTATGAAACTCAGTGTTAAGATGAAGGGAAAAATCTACCTGTAACAAAATACCATAACTGCCTCTGCTGTTACAGCAGCAGCAGCCACAGGACTTGACAGCAACCTGGCAGTATTGTAGGCAAACGGCCCCTCAGCCTGAGACAACAGAACTCCAGCAGCTTTCAGAATCATCCAGAGACCTTACTTGGGTTTCTAAATGTGAGGGAACATGCCCATAGCACAGGCCTGGGTGATCTTTAAGGCTGTGGGATTCGGAAGCTCCCTGCAGAGGGGGAGAGAAAATGAAATACTCAGGGTGGTCTTGGGTGCAGTGGCATGGCTGAAGCCTCCTGATGGGAGAAGGAGATGGAGGTGTTCCCTCTCTGTACTGTAGTCATGTAGCCATGATTTAAACAGCATCTCCAAGCTGACGACATTGTCCTCTATGGTTTGCACATCGATGTCCATTCCCAGAATTGCAAAGTCTGCAGGAAAAAAAGGTGAAAAAAGCACAAATGTTTTCAGCCACAGAAAAGAACATTCTCTTGTACTTCCCACTGCACTGTGGCTCCTTCATCCCTCACTCAAGTGCTTCCACATAAGGGCTTCAGAAGACACTACCATGCCCATCACAGCACAGCACTATGAAGCCAGCCCTCTTAAAGGGACACTGCTAGAAGCTGAACTGTTCCACAGGCCACACCAACAGCCTTCCCATCAACAGGGTGGCTGGACGGGCTACTATCATCTTCAGAGGATTAGCTGTGACTGGTGCAAACCTCTGCTGTGGTCATCCTAGCACTGGCCTCAGAGACTCTTCTCACAATTTAAAACTCTTTCCTCCTTCTTCCTAAGCAAGGGGCCGTGGATACGTGATGCCACAAGAAATCAGGGAGACTGCAAAACTGAATTGCTATATATGGGGAATTGTGTCTAGCGCTGGAAAAGTCCTACGCCTCAAATAGGAGGTGAACGTTACTTCACTGCATGGCTCAGGACTCAACTGCTAAACATCCTCAGCATGCGTTTAAAGGAGCAGCTGGTCACAGAGCGGAGAACAGGAGTGAAGCTTGACCTGCACCTGACCAAAGCAGAGGGCATTTTTCAACCCATTACTGTTGAAGTGCTGCCTGGTCCACAACAACCTCCTAGCAGAACACCCTTGCAGATGAACAACATCAAACCAACCACCACCATTACATTTCATTTCAAACAAGTGAAATGCATCAAATTTAGAGACTTGTTAAAAGGAGAAGGTGAAACTGTTTGCAAGGAAATAGCAAGTATTGAAGTGACCATGTTGGAGGTGCAGAGAAAATGTGTATGATCTAGCAGCATTTAGGAATGGGGACATGTAGGCTGGGCAGCGGCTAGGGAAGTTATAAGCAAGATTAAACCCTTGCAAAACCATCCTCCCCCCCAAAAAATAACTCAAGGTGCATCCAGATAAGGGTGGCAGGGAAACAGATGTTGCAAAATGTGGAGGATGTACTATTGCCATTTGTAAGCACAGCAGGAGCAGAGCCTCCAGCATGAGCAGGGGCACCACACAGCCAGGAGATGAAACACGTATTCTGAGAAGATGAACACAGAGCAGAAATTGCCTTTTTTCCCCAGTGTGTTTCCCAGGGGACCACAACACAGTGACAGCCCTTGGCAAGCAGAAATCTGTTCTTTATGCATTAGTAGTTATAGTTCGCAAAATGACACTGTGCATCTTCTCCTACAAAAAACAAAGCACAGAAATTCATTCCTCTCCCCCCAGATGGCAGCTCAGCCAGGGCTAAGGTAACAGCAGTCCCGCTGTCAGGAATACACCAGCACAGCAGAACATTCCGACTGCTCCACCTTCCAGCCTCGGAAGGCAGTGAGCTCACACAGGCTGTGCCTCTGCAGCAAAGTAGGATCAACTCCTGCTTACCACAGGAGGTTGTCCCACTGTCCCTGCTGCTGAGCTCCTGTCCCCAGTGTCCGGCCTGACTGTCCTGCAGCCAAGGACATTTCCTTCTTGTTTCTTTTCTATTTTATCCAGTTCTTCCCAAATCTAAATACTAACCCGAATATTCATGTATTCTGTTGCAGCTTTTTAAAACATGCCTTAACACTGCTACCATCCTTACCCAGTCTACCCTGTGCTTACGGGGATTGGAGTTTCTCCCCCATGGAGCAATGCTGGAGGATTCTTTGGCAGAAGGGAATGTCCTGCTTCTCTCTGGAGCTGTGACCACTGTCAGTCACTTGCCCTGGCTGATGCCGTGAGTCTTGCTCGTACCTGGAGCACACACTGGTTGTGTTTCCGCTGTGACACACTCCCTACCTTTTATTAGCCTTGGGTTTCTTCCTGGGATATGCACTGAAGATGACATTAACAGTTCAGAAGACAAAGCAGCAGGAAATCCATGTAATTTACTTTGACAAATAGTGTGTAGACAGGTGACAAGGGGAATTATCCGCATTTTGAGAGACAGCCTTTTGGGGCTGGTAAATGCTTTAGTCCTTTCCTCAGTAAATATTTTCCCATTTTGTTATTTTCTCTTCTGTAATAGATATGTAGCCCCTTATGCACCTTAAGCTGGCACAATAGTAAACAGAAATTAACTTCATTCATTGCTGTCCTTGCTTAGGGAGAATAGGTTAGGATGCCAGCATCTACTGTGCAATGGGTCTTAAAATTCCTGGAGAGCAGATATGCAGAGCCATGTATTGGTCAGGAATCTGCAGTGCACATATAGGAAAAAGGTTCCCTGGAACTTGCAGATTATGTATTATATTCATTAAAAAATGTCTTAGTGCTTTCTCTTCAGTGCTCGCTTTTTGCTTTCCAAACCAGAAATAGATAGAGCCAGTATCTGTGTCACATACAAATATTAACCTGCATTAGCAAATAGTTTGGCAACACTCAGATGCTTTAAGTGTTTGTAATGGGGTAGGGGCAGGAAAGATATAATAATAATAGTTCTCATGTTATCAGTTAGAGGCCCCTGCATCTTATCACTCCCTCCCACACACTCCTCCCACCACAAGTGCTATAAGCTTTGCTGTCTCTACGGGATCTGTATTGTATCATGATCTCTGCTCCAGACTGCAGTCTGGCAAGCCCTGATGTTTCATCATTAAGGAAACACTGCACCTTGAGTCTCTGTCCCACAGAGAAGCTGCTTTGCAGTTTTGAGGAAGCAATCCTTATTGCTCGTCGCACGGCCCTTGTTTGCCTAGAAATGACCTCTCCTGAGGAGGTTGCTCCTGTGAGGAAAGCAGCAAGCAGTTTTCACCCACAACAGGCTGTTCTTAGCACATTCAGAGCTATTCTAAGACTTGCCAAATGTGGGCTTCAAAATATTGGAGTCTTTTCTAGCTGCATTAACCTGCAAATGAGCCTAGGAAACGGGATGTCCTGGTCCCGCTTTCCTTCTTTCAGTACCACAGGAAATTGTAACTGTATGGTTTGGGTTTTCTCCCTGCTGTGGTAAATGAGAGAGGAAATGCTCTGGGTGAGCTGAAAAATCAGGTGCTTTCTCAAAATGCAGATTTTGCATCTCTGCATCTTCTTGGCTTTGGAAGAAGCAATCTGTAGTCTAGTGCTATGTAAAGTAAAGTAAGACATAACAATCATCAGTGGTCTGGTAGGACCCCTTGCAGAGGATTAGGATCTCACTGCAGTAGCTGCAGTATAAGCAAGGCAATGAGATGGTCTGAGCCTTGAAGGTCTTACAGTCCAACAGAAGATCCAAAAGAAAGCAGCAGGGTAATACCATGTACTCCCCAGGAGTCTAAAGAAGAAAATACAGGCTTCTCACTGGATTGTCCATAAGAACATCTTGAAATCCTGGACGACAAGTCCATTTTATCTTGTAAGTGACATGTCTCACTGAAAGCCTGAGGCAAGCGCCACAGTTGCTGCCTCCGAATGGCTGAACCTCCAGCTGGTGTCTGTGGCTTCCCCAGTGCCTGTCTTGAACACAATATTCAGCAGCATATTCAATACCACAGGGGGGGGTTTCTTGTGTAGATGAAAACTTCCAGCCTCGACCAGATATTTAACAAGCCCAGTTTAACAAGGCTGTTCCTGCGCATCTGGCATTTGCCAAAGGCAACTGCTTCATAGAAACAGGGAACACCTGCACAAATGTGCCCCAAACCCTGTTTCTTCCTTAGGTTCATTAATTAGAATTTGTCTTAAGTCCTTACCTTTCAGTTCCAAAATTCTTTACAGGGTTGAGGCAGGAGGAGGCAGAAAAGCCAAGTATTTCATGCCAAGAGCTATATCCCTATAGAGATTTGTTACTCACATAAATGCTCTGCGGATCTGCAGGATTTCTTTAAGGACAAGCAAGCTCACTGCCCTGGACTTCAAGAGA